AATATATATATATATATATATATATTTGTATGTGTGTGTTATAAAATATAACAACAATATTAAAAAAACACCAGTGGTCTCAGTAATTATCTATATAAAAACATTCTGAGCATTAAACCAATTGTTGATTTGTAGTTCGTTTGATGATGAAAACACAGTAAAGTTATTAAGCAACATTAGAGGGATTCTGTAAAGCGTGTAAGTAGGTATTATTTTTCAATACCAATCTTACGACAAAAGCCTTTACAACTGAATCTACGCTGCAAGGCTATTGTAATGATGCACGATCATAAGCAACACGACTGTAATAAAGTGGGGAAGCTCCAAAATCGTTTTAATATATCAATCTCTGTACAACATACTCTCAAACATGTAAGGTTTGGGATAACTGAAGATATTGTATAAAACATAATGCCCCGTAATTAGAAGGCATTTTCTTCTAGTAGTCGCAGATTGTTATATAAGTACTGTAGTTCAAAAACCAAGTTTTTATAGCGACATAAGGTATTTCTTATTGTATACATTTATGAATATAATTTCACAAGTTATATTTTTCTTAAGGAAAAATTATACTTTAAACCAAATGTGCTCAAAATGGTTTTTATTATATGTCTTCTAAGTTATCTATAACACTCAATATATCAATCGAACATCTTATCCAATAAGCAAATGATTTAAAAGAAAACGTTTTTAGTAAAAATTAATTACTGATTTCATTTGATGCACATGTTATATAATAAAAATAACCCATACAATTAATTCTCAAATAAAATTAAAATAACGAAGTTGCAATAATGAAAAATGTCCATATTTGAAAATGTTACCTACCAGGCTAATAGGACCTTCGTCATATTTGTACATTATTCCACTGTTGTCAGAATATCGAACTTCTGCCAGACGTCCTTGGATATCGAAAGAATAGCGCTCTGAGAGATATCCTCTTTTCCAGTGTGATAGTCTCCCAAACCGATCATACTCCAGCTGAACAGCTGTGATATTGGGGGTGGGCATCCACTGAAGAGGGTGGCCCAGGGTATCGTAGTGAACAGTGACCAGTGGAATTTGTTTTTTGTCGTATACTGTTTCGCTGTACTGTTCACGGTCAAATTCCACAGACAGCAATGTTTCGTCATTCACCTAGGTTTATTTATATCAGTAAAAATATAATCAATATTTTTCTCACGAATATTAATCTTACATGTTTAACTTATCAATTTTACAAATTGATACTTTAATTACACGTTTTATTTTGTTTGTAGTTAAGCACAAAGCTACACAATGGCCTATCTGTACTCTGCCCACCACGGGTATCAAAACCCGACTTCTAGCGTTGTAAGTCCGCAGACATATCGCTGTGCCACTGGGGGCATCTTTTAGGAAATAAAAGTACAGCGTAATTTTCTAAACTCATAATGAAAATTCGATTATAAATATATTTAACTAAAATGTACAGTCGTTTTATAACTGCTGTTTGAGGATTTGTTTGCTGTACGTACATGCTTACCGCTGTGCTAATGGGAGTCTTGATTATAAGCAAAATGTGCATTTTAAATAAAATATTAATATGTTCAAGAATTAAACTATTAGGTCGTCAAGAAATTAATATCGCGTTTTGGAACACTTTCATTAACCATCCCCGAAAAAACGTACATCACGTATAATTGTAAAACGAACCGCCTAAATGTCACGTTAGTGTAGCCTATATAAGTTTATTATACTTTAATCCATTATTGTGGTGGCACACGACGAGACACACATTCGGCATGTAATGCTCATTGAATACAATAAGGTAAACAACGCCTCTATAGCCACAAGGAATATCAAAGGAATTTATGAAAATGTTTTAAACGTTCGTAAGTGTCAACGATGGTTCAGCAAATTTCATTCAGGTGACTTTAGCCTTGAAAACTGTGATGTCAGAGGCCGATGTATTGGAATTGACATTGATGCTCTGAAGACGCTTCTTGAGTCTATCCAAAAGCAACACACTCGTGAAATGGCCCTGAAATTCTGTGTTTCACATGAAACAATACGTAAACAGCTAAGAAATGTGGGAAACCGCCATAAAGAAGGTGTTTGGGTGCCTCAGAAACTCTCCAATGGTCATTGTTTCCAACGCGTGAACGTTGCTTCGTCTCTTCTGGCGCGTTAATACGCGTGAACCATTTTTGGACAGAATTTTCACCGATGATG